TCTTTCCCTTAGTTGCTCTTTGTTTCCCTGATAAGGGATAGAGGTTCTATCAGAAAAATAGGTGCAATAAGTAGATACACAGAGATGAAGCCATTTGACCTAAGTTCTTGTGTAAATTAGGTTTAGGGTCCTATTTTTTTTAATAAGGATACGTGTATCTGGGCAGCAGCATAAGCTCAGAAGTTACTAGTGTGCATGCAACGTAATGCATTGTATGTAATTGTATGCATACAATGCAATGTAAAGCAGGTGTTTCCCATCAGCTGGGATTTTACAAGGTTGTTACAGCTTCTGTTTTGGATGGTTTCATGTTCATTTGGGAGGAAACTGATTCTTGCAATGAAATGAGGTAGCCAGATGGTCTTCTCTTCTGGCATTCTGTTTGTGTACAGTCAGTCCTTGCCAGCTTCTTCTAACTTTGGGTTTGGTTTTTTTTTTTTGCTAGAACTGTAAGTGAGTTCCTTAATGAATTATTTCTCATGGCCTGTAGAGTAGAGATCTGATTGGTGAGACTGAGTAGGAATGGGAAATGTCATTGTAGAGTAGAATGTTTCGGTTTGTTAGGGATTGGGAGCAGAAAAGGTAAAATGCTTCTCAAACGGTAATGGTTATGTTTGATGCTGGAGTTAGGGGTCCAGAGCATCTGTGTTGAGCAGCTTCCAAGTCAGCTGCTGAATGGTGGAAGGATTTTTATCCCACTGAGGGGTGGTACAGCTAGAGGACAACATCCTCAGGTGGATTATTTTTCTGGTTCTTTGGTAGACTGTAATGAAATATGAGTATCGCACAGCTTTAAAGGTTGTAAAGTTTATCTGTGAAGGACAGAGTAAATCCCCAGCACAGAGGGGACATAACGGTGGACATAATTGTGGCATATAAGTAACAGGAATAAAGTACTTGATACTGAAGTGCTTCTAATGTAGTGGAGAAAGTTTTAATAATCTCCAACATCTGGCAGATAAAGCCCAAAATCCTGAAATTAGGAAAGTGAGTGGATGGGAGGCATCAGCCTTTAGCAGTGAGGATGATTAGTCACAAGGACAACATTGGACCTCTGATACCTTCAAATCAAGACTGGTGTCCTGTCTGATCAAGACACCCAAAGAGGAGTAGTTGGGCTCAATGGTAGGTTAAATGGATGAAATATTATGTTTTATAATACACGAGAGACTCCAGCTTCCCTGCTAGGTATAAAATCTTTTGAAATCAGGAAGCAGCAAGTAGAAATGATGTGACTCGGCGCAGATGCATGAAGCAGATTGATAAAATTAAGCAACATGTTGAAATTTTATTTCTGATTAAGAAAGTTTGAGAAAGTCATAATTAGGACCAGCTGCCTTTGGTCCTAGGGTAGCATGAAGTTCATGGCTCCTAACAGCTGATTGCTCTTCATGTGAAGCGAGAGAGGATTGTAATACCCAGCACAATGATCAGCCTTTCCTTTCGAGGATTTGGCTGCCTGTATTTCTAAGTTAGATAGTTTTGCAGTGGAGGCACAGGGGTGTTGCCTGATCCGGGTTGGATTAATGCATTGCAGTGATTGTAAGGTCTCCGTTCCTAACATAGAGTTTCTCTCTTCAGCCACACGCCAGTGCTGATTCAGCTGTATGATGTTATAATCCTTTTCTTCAGTGGTTATGATACCATGGATGCGTGTTGTATTTTCTGGTTTTCTCCTTTTTAAAACCCTTTGGAAGCTGAATATACTTGACTGACCACACAAAGAACTGAAATTCTATCCCAGCTTCTTCTCCCCTCGCTGGGTGGATCACTGTTGGCTATTAAAAAATAAGTAGGAAGGCAGGAAGTGGAGGGAACTATGTATTACTCCTGACGATCTGCAGGTTTTTATCATTGACCTGGTGGTCCTACCTGCATTGCTTTTGTATTACATTTGTAAGTTAAAGGGGTACCAAGTTCTTCCGCTACTGCTTTTGCAGCTGTATTTAAATATGAATTTATCGTAATTTTAAAATTCAGCCTTCAGGAAGGGATTGGGGAGGAGAAAAAGAGGTAATATAGTAGGGAGCAAGGCGTGACGTCAAAACTTCTGGAGACAGTGAAGAAAATAAATCCCGCAAATGGAGATGCTTAAAAGAATTAGTGTGTTTGCAAAGTTCATGATAACTTAATCACATACTACAATCACGGTAGTTATAGAAATGTATGTACAGTCATACAGAATGTATATATAGATACATATGTAAAAGATATATATATATATAGTATAGTAATAAACAGAAAGACGTAGAATATGTGCTCACATATTTTTTACTCTGAGAAGGTAACTTCAAGTTGTCACCCTCTCTGATAATAACCTAAATGTATCTTTGTTCAAGGGTGTTATTTATGCATGTCACTGTATACCTTTGCGCGTCAGATAAAATTGTTCTCAGATCTCACATTCAGAATTAAAATATTTTAGCATAGTAATTAATTTTGAGTTTATATTGTAGCTTAATGACCAACCTGTCACTGCTGTGACTAGCCATTACCACACAAGCCTAAAGGTATTGGTATGAAATCTTTTTATTTATAGTGAACCCATCTGTGTAATTGGCTGTGGCTCTGTAGTGGGAAGTAAATGTTTCTGTGCCCATCGCGTCTTGGAATGCAGCGAGGAAGAGGACGTCTGTGGTGGCTGGATTGCCTCCCCTAACCTGCTCAGTAGTTAATGGTGATCTCAAAGGAGATTTCTGTGGGACTGGCTGTGCTTAGTGCCCGAAAAAGCACTTTGTTTTAAATGGTTTTATTTTTCTGTGTTAAAAACCCAAAATATTAAAGTTACTTACTCAAACTTACTGTAGTGGCCTCTGGTAGCCCTTCTTCAAGCACGTCTGATTCCTTTGCAGCCACGTCGTGGTGTACAGCATTCTGGGGAGAAGCTTGCTGGAGCTGGTGCAGCATGGGCCACTGAGTAAAGGTTTAATTCAGAAACCCGCTCTAAACTTACTGCATGCTTAATTGGTTTTACTGCACATTATGTCCAGCCTTTGTCTGGGGACAGACTTGTTTGATTGCTGGTCCTCCTCTGAATGCATTTTTAACTAGGTGTGGGAGAGAATATTTTTTCACGGGCTAAGCACTAGCTAACAGGAAAATAAAAGGGTAAGTATTCAGCTTTCACGAGAGAGAAACTGGAGACTCCTCTTGTGGAAGGTGTAGTTGGATGACAATAGTGCATGGAAGATTTACTGGAGCACTCGCCCTGACAGCAGGGGATCCTCGTCCCTGCAGGGCTCCTGTCCACGAGGCTGGAGACGCTTCTGGGCATTGGCTGCTCTTTTAATTTTTATCTTCTGTTACGTAGCAGAAATGGGAGACTGCTGGAAGAGGGAAGTGTGGCTCTGGGGAGTGGTGCTTGGGGCACTCGGAAAGGGCAGTCGTAGGGGTTCTGGTCCCTGCTCACAGCATCGCTTCTTTATCTGGTAACTTTGGGCTGCTTATGAACATCTGTGTAGCAGCTGGGCCTGCATTTGTCACGCTGCAGTTGCTTGGCGTTATTTGAACATTCTCTGGGTTGATGTTCTTGGTGTTTCAGGGTTGATAAAGGCTGTAAAAATCCTGAGTAAAATTCAAGTGGCTTTTACAGCCTAGTAATGTGAGAAACCGCCTCTCTACACACTGCCATCTGGTCTCGGAGGTTGCAGGGGCTGGAACAGCATACTACCAGCCTTTGGCATGTCCTGCTGTGCCTCCATTTCCCTCTGGATGGGATCAGGAGCTCCTCCTTTTCCCAGGCCTCAAAGGGACCGCAGGGCTGGGGCTTGGAGGAGTTGTGCTTGCTCTGGCTGTGGTTCCCTCTGCCCCAGGCATGTGCTTGGGTGTCATTTGCATCAGAGCTGAAGCAAAAGTCGAGCAGCCGCCTCTGCTTTCTGTCTGCAGTGACTAACCAGGAGAGCTGCTCGATACTCACTGAAATCTAGAAAAATCAGGTAAATTTTACGGTCTGGTGGGAGAAGGGGAAACGAGTTCTCACAAGTGTGGGATCCAACCAAGAGTAGTAACGTAGCAGTGCTGGACTGGAACAAGGGGGAAGCCTTCTCTGTGGCCTGTCCAAGGATGACCCTGGTGAAGGACTGACACTGACTTCCAGTGCTGTTTTTCCAGTTGCACAGACTCTAGAACACCATGTTAAAAAGAGGGAGAGATGGGAAGCAGCAAGAGAAGATGTTGTTATGAAAGAGATCTCCAGTGCACACAAGTATTGAGTATGTCTTACACGGAGACGTTCTTTTCCCTTGAAAGAAGAAATTAATGTACATGAGCTACAAGAGTTTCTGATGGTCACTGGACATGTCAATACTAATTTTGGGAAAGACTACAATTACTCCCTTAAAGCTAGGAGCCACGGTTAACGAGTAGAGCAGCACAGGACACGAACCACTACATGCATCTGTTAACAGTGTAGGGCCGGGGAAAAAAATGCAGATCGTGTGAAATGGAATCGATCTCATCAGCACATACACTACAAATACAAGCATGGAAAAAACTACTGGTTCAGCTCTTGAACCACATGAACTGGTACAGCTGTATTTTTTTCAGTGCAGTTGTACTGATTTACGTAGCGTAGGATATGGTCTTAGTAGTTTAAAAATGTTTTCCAGCTTTGGGCAGACTGGAAATTTAATTCAGCAATTGTAACTATTTCTGGCTTTTGGGTTAGCTGCTATTGCCTCTGGATGACGGACTAATGTATCATAATGAAGTGGCTCTTTTCTAGCTGTAGCTCCTAGAATGTGACCAAGCAGACAAGATTTCTGCAAAAATCAGGTAATCAATAGCAAAAGTCATGAATCCAAGCCTGAGATGCCAAGAGAAGAAGACTTTGTGAAAACCAAGCATCTAAACAAGACGTACAGGGAAAACATGTGTTTCACAAGAATATTCTCTGGTAACTAATGAGGTACCTGCGCTTCACACAGGTTAGATTCCTGTTTAAGCCACAAGTCCTTTAACAGTCTATTGCAGTTACACAGTAGTCAAACTCATGAAAGTAACAAAATTAATGAAATTTTATTGGCAAAAATCAAGTTGAATGTGACCTATGTAATTCAGCAGAAGCAAGCCTCAGTTTAGTTTATCAAAATACTTCAGTTTTCCAGCTGGATCTGGAATTATCTGTGCAAGAAAGAAAATGAAAATGTTAGTCTAAAAACAAAACCATGCAAATGCAACAAACTATAAAACCAGAACAGCATAGTATTTTGTAATATGATGCTAAGGCCAACCCACAAACAACACCAAAGAGTAATTTATCACTTAACTTGATACTAGATTACTATTTACCTCTGAAGATACCTAACAGCAGTAGCAGAAAGATTTAACTAATTGGTGGAAGAGAGAGTGCAGCCTACCAAAGGAAGAATGTTGACAGTTGGGAGCACATACATTATGTTGCTTGCCCCAAAAGCAAGATATTTTAATAAATTAAGATCTGTAATCAAGAGTTTTAGAATTTACTTACAGTTCTTCCCTTGGCCACCACACTCTCATGGCTTCCTCCGGTTTGATCTAATTAAATCAAACACATTTAGATGGCATGGCTACATCTTTGAGAAAGTCTTTTTAAACTACTTTGCTATTTAAGTTATCTGCATCTTTTGCACAGAGGAGAAAGACAATGCTTACATATTGTTTTTGATCTTTAAATCGGTAGTATTGGAGCTGTTAATCTCAATGTTGTAAGACTGTTTTTTAGAAAATATGTTAATGATGTCTCTGCATCTTTTGCACAGAGGAGAAAGAGAACGCTTACATATTGGTTTTGATCTTTAAATTGGTAGTATTGGAGCTGTTAATCTTAACGTTGTAAGACTTTTTTAGAAAATATGGTAATGTTGTATTATTTAGCTATTATTTATGGTTATGGAGGGCAGAACTTTTCAGTGCCAAAATATGCCTCTTTCATTTTACAATCTTACTATCCAGCTTCCCCCACTAAGACACTCTCCTGCTAGCTTGAAAGAGGTGACTGCTAGCCTCAACTCATCCTGGGAAGGTTTCACATCCAGCAAAACAACATGGTTTAACATCCCACCGTTTTAACTATCAATGACAATGCTCGCTACTCTGCTTAGAGCCTACTGGGACCCGTGTTTTGTCGAGCCAGCTCTTAAACAACAACGCTCTGTCATCACCGGATGGTTCAGAAGCAAGCCACATGCTCAAATAAATGACAGTGATCTCATCTGAACTAGGCGGCTCAGGCCTCTAGTGAAAGTTTCATTATGCTGCTGAGGCTTGATCCAAGCTCAGAGAACACAAACAAGTTCAGTGGGTGTTTATCTGAACCCTTGGCTCTTCTGCTTGTAATCACATGTAGACCAGTAGTAACGAAGGAGGAAGAGCTATTACGCAGCCAAGCAGTGCTCTCTGCTGGGAGTTCTGACAGTGGCACAGTGGCTCTGTCAGATACTATAGCAGCCTGGGAACTTGTATCTATTTTTTTGGGGTAGCGCCTAGGGTCCATAGGAAGACTCGACAGCTAAGAATTGATATGGACCAAGAACAGAGAAGACAGGGCAGACTCAAGAGTTTCCAACTTCCTCTCATCAGGTGTTAACAGGAAAAAATGTTCTTGATCATGAACTCATTGCTCCTCAAGAGTTTTGTTTATACACATGGAATTTGAAACAACTGGAATATGTCTAGTGTGAGGGAAATGAAATCAGTAGTAATCCAAAGGCTGTAACTATAACAATGTGAGTTTACTCACACCATCTCATTGAAAGTTGCAAAGAGTGTGGATTTGCCTTTAGTGGAAATGATAACTGAGTGTTTTTTAGTAGTACATGCATTTAAATATAAAGAGTGACTTACTGTTTCACTGCCAGGTTTCCACCCAGCAGGGCAAACTGGAAAAAAACAAAAAGACAAAGTTAGTAATAGTATTTTTATACACATTTACTTTTGTGAAATTAATATTCTCTTTCTGAACTTGAAGTAAAACAGCACACAAGTGTTACATGTAAATATCTGAAACTATTATATATGCAGTTTTCTTTATACATGGGATGGTGTCATGATGTTTTATACCTGATACCACCTACCACTTCTGTTAACTGGAAACTGCTTATCTCTGGATGGATGTCTATGCCTTGGTTTAAGTCTTGTGCCCGTCTAGACAAAGTACTGTCAAAGCAGTATCTGAGATGAACACCTATTCTAGCAGAAATGAAAATTTCATTCTAAAATTCAGGTGACTACACAGAGACGTACCTTTCTTTAAAACCAGTGCTAGGGGAAATTTTTTTAGCAAAGAAATCAATTCAAAGACTCCCCAAGAGACTGATTTTTATTTGAAGCCTTGCTCAGGAGTAAAGAGATTACAGCACGCGCTTAACACGCAGTGCGGCTGAGAGCCCTCTGACCAACTGTACAGTTGCACATTCTGGAGTAAAGCTCTTATCTATTCAGAGCTCTCCGACTGAGTTATGCTGTATTATGCTGCTTTAAGGCACGCTGTCAGACAAAACACCACAAATGCAATTAGGAATTGTGGAAAACTTCTTTTTCCTGTTCTGTGCAAAGAATCCCATAAGGCGCCTAGGGAGGCTCTCCTCAGCATTCATGCAAAAGCTGGTAAGATTCCAGGTACAGCTGGAAAGAAACGTGGTAGTCTGGAAACACACTGCAGACCAACGTTCTATAAGACAGCTTTGTAACTAAATAAGAGAGGCTAAATTTCCTTAGTCAAGTGTGCATAGCCTAAGTATCAGCATTTACCTTTTTAAATCTGTACAGCAAAGCACAGTAATGATTTGTACCTTCAGATAAAGGTACTCTCAAATGCCAGGGGAAACTTGAGTTGAAATGGAAGTTAAGTTGCTGAACATGCGTATTAATATTTAAACAAATCTTTAAATAAATGAATGTGTGTGTTAAAGCACATGATTTAGAGAAATGTTAAAAGTTCACCCTATGCTTAAACTGGGGGAATATGAATTCCTGAGACAAAGTAACGACCTGAAGCCAGGGGAAGCTTCTTTGTCGGGGGAAGATGATCACGTAGCGCTTGTAAAGAAAACACAAGTAATGGTGGGCTAATTTGCACAGTATCACCATGTATCTTGACATGAAGCACTCTCAATTACTTGTCACAGATCCTCAATGAATGACACAGGACAAGGATGGCCTGCATCTCAATTAATTATTTTAGTATGCCAAAATGTGCTGAAATACTGGGCCTGTTTCTTCATGGCCTCATATCGCGTACGGATTTAGGTTTGTGACAGATGGTACATAATGCCTTAGTTAGGACTAAGAAATGCTTTATGCTCTGCATTCTCATGGATGTGGAGCAAAATGTGAATTACCACACTAGAAACAATGTATGGAGGTACCAGGACCACAGAATTGTGTAGCAAGGCAATCAAACCACTTCATTCGCTGCATGAGGTTAGTCTCTAATGCTACTGAGTACCTTTCTTCCAAAAAGCTATAAATATAGCTTTCAGTCTAAGTAAAACAATCTTCAAGATAAAAGTATTTAAAAAAGCACCTTCTCCATGTTTGTCAGTGTATTGGAATGCTTGTACTAAACGAAGCGTTTCATCCACTGATCTCCCGACAGGAAGGTCATTCATTGTGATCTGTCGAAGGATCCTCTTATCATCAATAATGAAAAGGCCTCTGTGAAAACAATTTTGTGCGTGTGTGTTAGGAAACAGAATTAATTACAGTGTTGTGTTAACGCACTATTTTATGTCTGCTGGATGGGAGGAATTTGATCTCCACAAACACCATACAATACCCACCACCTTAGAATACCACTAACTAGAATACTAAGAATAGCACTAACCTATTATTCTTTACCTGCGGTATTGGATGACATGAGCTGAGGGTAAGTTAAAGCCAAAAAAGGCTACTTCTCTGCAGAACATAAAACTAAGCGTTGACAGGCCCTGCCAGGGGAGGTTGCAGATGCTATGATGTTACAGGAATCCCAAAAGCAACTACTCAAGTTTATGAAAGATGGATCTCTTGAGGCCATTAGTTACCCTTAGTCTTGACTCCACTTGGACTTGGGAGGTCCCCAAGTAACCGCAATTCTGATGAATTCTGCATGTTTGCCCTGCCCTAGCTATCTGCTGATGACTGCTGTTAAACAGGGTAATAAACCTCCACCCCTCTTCTGCCTTATTATGACTATTTTTTTTTGTGTTCTTCAATATTTATTTTGTCTCTTGGCATGAATCCCCAAGTAAAAACTGCCCTCAAAAAATAATTTCAAATGCTTCTTTATAGAGAACTACTCCAGAAAAAAAAAAAAAAAAAAGAACGCTAACTAAGCAAAATACCTAAGTGTATGCCCTTGATCTTCCAGATATACTCCATAATCCTTTGAAATTTGGTGCGTCAAATCTGAAAGAAGTGGAATCCTCATAGGTCCAAGTCCTCCTTGTTTTCGAGGAGTATTAATCCTTTGAAAGAAATGAGATACAGATGTATGTCTCATAAAGATTTGTATTCGCTACACAAAGTTAGAAGTTGCAAATCAGAACAGTACAAACAGAAGGATTTAGTGCAAATAACATTTTTTTTTGTTCTGCACACGAGGGAGATGAATGCTATTTGTGGTTAGAGCAAAACATTCAGTAGATCCTTTGCAGTTTTTGGCCACATTTATTAACAATGACCTCTTTCTCATTGGTCTTATTTGCTTTATACCGTGTGCTCATGAATTGGGACAGTGTGATGCACTTACGGATACAAAAAAAAAAAGACATAAGGATGCAAGTATTTGTAGTATTTTTTGGACTGAGACATGATATATTTCAAGAAATATGTATTAAACAAGCTTCAAAGATAAAGGTACTTTCACACACTAGGGTTAAAAATTTTTACCAGTGAAAAATATTTTAAACATTTGTATCGATAGCATCACACTTTTACACATTATGATATACCTACATAGGCTAAAAATCTGGGGATACAGTTCTTCAGCTAAGATGGACCTGTGAGTAATTTTTAGTGGGAGACAAGGATAAGATACGTACCATGCTAAGTGAGTGAACTTTGAGTCCACAGAACATGCTACTACTTCGGTATTTATTGCTCTGAATTCTTCAATTCTGTCACTGAAGGCGATTATCTCAGTTGGACATACAAATGTACTAGATAATTTAAGACAAGGTAAAGTCAAAATTTCATGAAACATCAAGTAAGTTCTCTGTTTAACTTAAAATTGTGGATTTATCATCAATGATTTCAGCTTTTACTTGGTTTTTTTATTGCTTCTTCAAGTATTTAACCAAAATGCTGCCTGACAAATCTTCCAGCCTCAGACTCTAGCTTAGTTACAAACGGTTTATTACTGAAGAAAATTATAAACCTACAGTTAGATTACAATCTGGATACAAGTGTTTTTACAGATACTTTCTTTCAGTCTTTATATGTATTAAGTGACCATAATATGCCAATTTTTTCAGAGAAACATACTGTAATTTGTTGTTATTGTGCATGTCTGCAAATTTCAACTATGTTGACTTGAACTTTTTCCACTACAGAAGAAATAAAGTGGTAAAGATGACAATTTCTAGGGCCTTGAAGCTAAGGGCCAAGAGCAACGCTATTTCCTTTATAATATTAAGGTAGTTATGCATCTCTGTTGTCTTTTCTTCATTTTGCGGAAAAGAATGGGATTGTCTGGTAGAAAGCAGAGATGTTTTCACTCAACCAGTGAAGTTACTGCATTCCAAATAAAGGAAGGTAATGGGAAGTCTTCTTAGGTTGTTATGGGATGAGCTCAAAGGGAAAAGGCCTTCTCTTAGATACACCACATGCAGTCTAGCAGCAGCGATTTACAGCATCACACAAAACATAAAGGTTGCCTGACTGGGTACTACAGACTGAACATCACTTTTTTGTGTGGAGACACAAATTAGTGGACACACTTATTAGGACAAAGACTGTGTTACAATTTTACCAATGCATGATGAAAACACAAAAGCAAATAATATATTTTCTTCTGTCACTCCTTTCTTCTCCTCCAAACCCTTACCAAACAAATAAAAAAACCCAAACTCAAAAAAGGAGAAAAAATAATTAATTACAAGTACAGTTTAGCTGCACTCAGTCATGGTATGTCTACAGTAGTCTTACTTACAAGTCAAGGGGATAGAAGAAGAAGACAAGATATTTTCCTTCATAATCTGTTAATTTCAGCTCTTTAAACTCTCCATTAATGACTGCTGTTCCTTCCCAATAAGGCGCTGGCTTGGAGACTGAAATACAAAGGACGTTCAATTAAAAGTCAGAATACGAAGCACGTGTTCAAAGCAAGGTGTTCATTAGCTAGCTGGTGTGCAAGGACGACTGTTCTTCCTCTTGCTTGAAAAACAACCTGCTGCACTGTTACAAAATGAGACTTTCTTACCACTTTAAAAAGTTCACAGCTGGCAGAGGTTTCAGGATGATGAAGAAATGCAGGTTTCAGTACACATGGAAAGTAAATAATTTGACCAACTTGTGCTTATACATGAGCCCTCTGAATCACCGATAATCAAGGCCACGCAAACCTTATCTGGGCACGCTGAAACAAACCATGTGTGCGCTACCAGCTCATGGCAGAACATATGTTAGACCAAAGAAGCAGCTGTTTAAGATTTCAGGAACTCTCACTATTTTGTTATGAGTAGCTGTTGTGAACCAGAAGCATAAGATGGTTCAAAATCATATCGATACTTTTTAGCCATGAAAAACTACTTGGAATTCAAGTCCACGAAAAATATATGCTACAACACATTTAAAGACAAATGCCTAAAAACGTAGTGTATATTTATTAAATTACAACTCCTAAGCAAATTGTAACTTGAAGGTAGTTATGTTTAAAAAAAACCCCCAATTAAAATGCATGAAATGTATTTACTACTCCTATCAAAAGGGATTAACTTTGAATTTAAAATATTAAAAATGATTCTGCCACATAATATTTTCATAGTAATGTGAATGTGGAGACAAAGAATAGGGTATGCTGGAGATACAAGGTGATCTGAATACACTTGTGATGTCAAGGACATTGACATACAGCTCCAGGAAATTATCTGGATGATGACTGCATTGTCGGGCTCTCCTTTTCTCAGGACAAACCACAGCTGTAGAATATAGTTAGTGAGGATATACAAGGACTGCAAAACATACCCCAAATCATCAGACAGATCATGCCCCTGAGCGCGAAGGCAGTCTGCTTTGGCTTCACTTGATATAACCCACAAGGGATGCAGCAATGCAAGTAGAGAGTCGGGAGGTATGACTGATAATTTCAGTTTACATTTTTTGAAGAAACGCCCTTCTTCCTCTCAAGACTTCTGCAGAATTCTTTCTGATCAGATTTCAAACCCCAGACTTTTTTTTATTAAACCCAATGGGTTTTTATTGAATCTTTGCAGGTATGGGGCTATTTTCAAGCGAATATAAGGATTAATCTCCAAGTTATTTTGAGATCTCAAAAAATGTTTCAAATATGTTGCTCTTTACAAAATAGGGATGCCCCAAATCTAATCTCTTTGTAGCCAAACTTTCTCTTCAACTGACCTTCAGATTAGGAGAGAGAAGGAAAAGAAATTAAATGAAATACATTGTGTCTTAAGCCCTTTCTAAATAAAGGTGAGTTTGGGGGGGATTAAAAGCACTTGTCTCAAATGATGTAATAACTTACATTACAAAGGGAAGAAAAATCAAACAGTATTGGTTACAAATATCTTGGCCGGTTTTCCATTTTTTTCTGTAGCATCTGTTTGCAAATGTGTAATACGGAAGCCATGCCCTGGCTTGGTAGAAGAAAAGGATTTAAAGCTGTGAATTCTCACAGCGAAGATGGTTTCTACGCCACTTCCCTCTGTCCTCTGTTCTGCAGTCGGGACTTGAGCAGGAGCTCCTTAACATCTCCCTGCGACTCAATTGAAGATGTTTGCACCTCGGCCTGCTATGAAGTATTTAAATCACAAGCGAGCGTAGGCACAGAAGCAAGTAGCAAGCCAAACCCAGCAACAATACCGGGTAAGCGTTACGAGAGGTGACCGTTCAGCATTTCTAACCGCAGCGTGAGCACAAAACACTTCTGGATATTGTTTAAAGCGTTTCCCTTGGCTCGTTCGCTCCTTCTGGAGGCACAGCCCCTGCTGAATGCTTGTGAGACCTTAAACTCGCTGCCTGTTCACCACCACAAAAACGCAGGGCTGGAAGGGACGGTGGGCCGGGCCTGCCCTCCTTCCCGAGCCCCCCGGCAGGCAGTGTGCGCGCTGCTGCGGCCACAACCCGCTTTCCCGGAGGCTCATCTCCTCAGGGCCACCCGCGACCTAA